TCTCTCTCTCTCTCTCTCTCTCTCTCTCTCTCTCTTTTTCTCTCTCTCTCTTTTTCTCTCTCTCTCTCTCTCTCTCTCTCTCTCTCTCTCTCTCTAGTGCTTACCCAGGGGAATATTCAATATTCATTTACTTTCCAAAAGTGACTAGCCGTCCTCTTATTGGTCCAGGTACCCAAAAAGTTCAAAAACCTTTCATCTGCCTGACTTGTCTCTACCCTAACCCGTCTGCAGTGTAGACCAAATGCTGGGACTGAGCGAGTGTTCAAAAAAAAAAAAAAAAAAAAAAGAGTGACCAAGGGGAACTAGGCAATTGAGCCTTTTTGTCCCTTCAGAGGAATGGGAGGGAATTTTTTTTTTTTTTGAACTTTTTTTGGTTTCTTTTCCTGTTTCTTTTTTTTTTTTCCTTTCTAACTAAGCTATATTCTTCTCTCAATCGCCCTAAACCCTAAACCCTAACGCGGACCCAAAAAAAAAAAAAAAAAAGTTGAGAATTCCAAAAAATCTGAAAAACAAAACATGTTATGCAGAAGAATAAACTCGACAACATTTGCCTCAATGTTACATAAATATTCTTTACCAAATTTGAAATAAATAAATAATAATAATAATAATAATAATAATAATAATAATGAAAATTAGAAAAAATAAAACAAGAATGAAATTGATGAGTGGGCGAGCACGTTTTTGTCACCACCATTTCTTTTTTTTTTGTCTTTAAGAAATCCCATGAGAATTTATATATGTGTATCGTACATAATAGAGAACCTACAAATAAGGCTAAAAAAAATGATATTTTTTCATGCGCCGAAATAAAGGAAAACCGAAAAGTGAAAAGAGAGAAAAAAACAAATAAGTGAGTGGGCAAGCAAGTTTTGACACCACCATCTTTGCCGATTTTTCATTATTTTTTGGCTTAACAGAATGCCTTCAAAATTAAGAGCAAGATACCTTACATTACAAAGAACTCACAAAACAACATTCAGAAAAAAAGTAATAATATTTAGGTGCCATTTTTTTTTTTTGCGGGGTCCGAACCCCTTCGAGTTCGGGCCCCAATACGGGCACCGGAGCAACCGAACGTTCGGGGGTCAGCTTAGGGGCCTCCATACGTTCGGCCTGGCAACTCTGATTATTATTATTATTATTATTATTATTATTACTTAGCGCTATTATAAGCTTAAGCTGACAACGGAAAAGACAAAGATGACAATTATTTGTCTGCTTCACAGGCTTGTGCAACAGTACTCTTCTCTCCGGCCAGGCTTAACCCCGACGCGACCGAGGCCCACAGTTGTCACCGTCGCAAGCTCCCATACGACACACAGCCTATGACAAACCACAGGAATCACAAAAAAACTATCTTCATAAAACCCAAAGTATGTAACCGTAAGATATTCTATAACATTCTAGACTGTATCTTTCATACCTTTATTATCTACAGATATATCAAACAGATATTCTGTGCAATTGGAACTGGAACAAGACTCACTGAGCAAGTCAAGGACATGAAGTTGGGAAGAAACTGACTGTCAGTTTCCATACGGATTGCTATGGCTCAAGCAAATACTTACATAGTACATACTACATACCATGGTGTCGAACAAGCTTCGCAGCACACCCAGCATGAGACCTATATGCGAAAAAAAAACAGAGCACTTAAAAGAGTGCCATGTCTGAACTGTGAACGTTTTCACTACTGTTTTCACTCCTCGCGTTTTCACTTACCACCGCCGATCCCTTCTTTTCTGCCTATCCCTTCTTTTCTGCTAATCCCCTTCTTTTCTGCCGATCCTTCTTTTCTGCCGATCCTTCTTTTCTGCCGATCATTTCGTCTCTTTAATCAATTTTTTGCTGCTCCTTTCTGGGTCTTTTCGACAAGAATCTTTAGAGACCACATCACCACTGAATGAACATTCCGCATGCTCGATCGAGGTCATGGGTTCATGTCCACCATGACCGCGAGGCCATTGTCACTGCAGTTGCTCAAGGAAAAAGCAAACCACCACGTAAACTTGGTCTGTGTGTCTGAAGCAGGACTGAACCTGGTTTAGGAGCTGCTGCACTGCTACAAGAGAGAAATGAGTCTGCTGCTCTGACTGCATAGCAGAGAAGATAAAGAAATCGATCACATATCGAACCTGCACTGACAGTTCTCTGATCCTGCACCCCCGAACAATTTCATCGCTCTATGACCTGCTGCAGCGTTAATTCCTCTCTCTCTCTCTCTCTCTCTCTCTCTCTCTCTCTCTCTCTCTCTCTCTCTCTCTCTCTCTCTCTCTCTCTCTCTCTCTCTCTCTCTC